TAGGGTGGGGTTGGGTTTTTTTTTTTGGGGGGGGGGGGGAAGGAGGGGCAGAAGAGATCCATGCAGTAAACAGGAACAAAAACCTATTACATTTTCATGTCACAATTTTTCAGGGTGGGGCCAGAGCAGCATCTTGAGAACTCCCTGCTCAAACAACGGATGTTTTGGACTGTTAATCCCACACTGAGCCCTGCTGAGAGACAGAAAATTGCAAGGCAATCTGAGTAAGCAAGTGGATATAGAACACCTAGACAAATGGGCTGTCAAACAGTAAATTAACATAAATCCCAACCCTAGCAGAGCTACCCAACTATATTATTTATAATTGCTCTGGGGTAGGAAAGGAAAAAAATGAATCCATAATCCAGTAAAATGACAGATTTATGGTTTATTCAGTGTGCAAATTAAAGATCACCCTGGACAGAAGAAATTTATGTACGAACTTCCTGGCATTGTTTTCATTGGGAACAGGAACAAAAGAAATATTCGCCACATTGAAGCAGCACACAATTTTGGTAAACCCCATTTTCTTTCCTGCCTCCATTTTTTTCACTGAATGATTGATTTTTGAAAAGAAAATTCTCTCTTTTAATATCTCCAATAAGAGTGCCAGTTAATGCATGCCTTATCTTAATTACAAAATGGGCATTTACAGATTGAAGCCTGTAATCTTTACAATGTATTCAGGCTTCAAAGTTTGCAGTGAGGGAGAGTCTCAAATTGGCTTTGAAGCTGGAACCTCCTGATGTAGCATTATAGAGGGATTGTATAACCATGCTAACACTAATAATAATTCTAGTAATTATCATTTAACCAGTATTATTCTAGGTACAATTTAGTAGAAGACTTAAACTTACTAACATTGGTGCAGCATTCTGAAAACATTGATGACCAATGTAATTTGACTACCATGGCTTCAAAGAGAATTCAGTTGTGTTTTCTCCTGTTCTGTTTTGTTTTGTTTTTTGCATCAGTGTACTACACTGATATAGCTGCACCAGTGGTGTAGCGAGAGGAGGGCAGAAGAGGGCAGTTGCCCCAGGGTGCCACGCTAGGGGGATTGCCAATTTACTGCCCCTCCACTCCCACATCATTTATCAGCTCACCAGCTCCTCCTCCACCCGCCGCCACTGGCTGGAGCCTCCACCCTGTCTCTCTGCCCTCAGCCTGACCCTCCTCCATCTCCGCCGGTAGGTTAGTGCATGCGGGGGCCAAGACCCAAACTGGAGGAGACGGAGGAAGATGCCGTACAAGCTCCCCCGCTCCTCCCAGGGTCGGGCCCCGCCACACACCAGGTTCAGGGCCCCACCACGTGGTGGTGGTGGTGAGGGGGATGCAAATTTTGCCTTTGCCCCCGGGAGCGTAACACCCTCACTATGCCTCTGGGCTGCACTGGTCCCAACTCTACCATAGAAATACTGCACCACTATGTAGAACAACTATGTACAAGGCCTACAATAGCTATTCACACAGTTTTTATTCACATACATTTTCATGAGCTCAGTTAGCGTTTAATTACAATAAGCCTTTGCTCTGTATTAGGACCCTCTTTTCATTTGCAAATTGAAATGACTTCTGAGCTTGTATTGCAATTCAGTCTGGACTCTTAACAAAATATTTCACTGAGGTACAGACATTAAGCTTCCCTTTAGAGCATTCTTGCTTTGTATGCCAGGAACCCTGTCTTGGTAGTATCATTATAAATTTCAAGTTCCAAAATTAGTAAGTGGCAGAGAGTAAAAGAGGATGGAAATGCAACACACCCATCGTTATTCACGGAGTGAAATCTAATGCTGGATGAGGAAACTACCATGTGCTATACTTAGACTTGACCTGTCTTTTCTGTAAAATATGTACAGAGTGACTTTCAGCAGAGAAAAGCTGAGCACAACTATTTTGCATGCAAAGAGAGGCTCACTCCTGCATGACCTGGTAGAACCGGTGACTTGAGAGCAAGAGGGACCTGCTGCAAAACTCTGCTGGAGAAATGTGAGATACACACAGAGGAAATTCATCCAGCAGGTGGGAATCTGTGGTAATTAATTAAATTTGCTCTCAAGTGTACACCTCTAATTCACCTCTAATTCATGGCCACAATAAGACTTTTCCAAGCAAGGTCGTGCCTCTTGTCATGGACATAATTTACTCATCAGTCTAAATATAGCCGTAATGCCTTAATGACAAAAGGAAATGCTTGAAACAACAGGAAGTATATAAGCAAATGGCTCTTTCATTTTACGTAGTTATATGATTCTGTAAAAGGATGGATGGGCAGAAGATATTTTCCTATTCCAAAAGTGTAATCTCTTAATCTGGAGATTGTTATGCTACTTTATAAAATAATAGGTTTTATGAAAGCATTAAGGGAAATCTACTGATTTTGTATTTTCCATATTTACTACCTGATTGTATTCCTTTGATTTAATATTTGTTAGTAATTTCTCTCTCTCTCTCTCTCACATACACACACACACACACACACACACACACACACACACGATTTTCCACTTTACTATCTTAAGGGTTGTATTTTATTTAATTTGAAATAATGTTCCAATCGTTAATGCTAATTCAATTAGAGAATAAAGAAGAGGATAAATAATCATATTCAAAAGAAGTTTGCCTCTGGAGTGATGATATATTAATTTCTCTTTTAATTTTTTTCAACGAGGGGCTTTTACTTGGATTTTTTTTTAGAAACAAGCCAAGCCTTTGGCTCCTGTAAGAGATCTGCAGTCTATTAAAAAAAAGAAAAACTTTAGAAATCTTCAAGACTCCAAGGCACACCTATTCTGTCATAGCTGGAGATTAGCAAGGAGTTGAAAACAGGAGACAGCCCATAAAGGAACTATTGTATGGGAAACAGCATTATACAATTATGTATTTACCGAGGATTGACTGTTCTTTTAATCTTTTATCAAGCTTTGTCTCAAAGAAGTTTGGTCAAATATCCAGGCCATACTTTTGCCTTTCAAGTGCATCATTCACCTGAGTTTCAGATATAATACATCCTTCTGTACAGACACTTCATTCTTTGTTTTTTTCTCAGAGAGACAGCCCCTCTCCTCCACTTTGTATCTTGGCTTGAATTAGATAAAAAAGTACCAGACTGATTTCTATTACTGTTCTTCAAAAGGAGGCTCACCAGACTGCTAAGCAGAAGAACTACTTATAATGAAGTAGAGCATAATGAGAAAGGCTCCGTTTTTATGTCTTGCCAAATAAATTATCTTTTCTGGATGCCTGTGAGGTTTGTAAGACAAGTGGGGAGACACAAATAATGACCTTCCCAGCTTTATAGCAAGATTTTTTTTCATAAAAGAAAAGCAGGTAAAAAGATTATTTACTGCGGAAAATCTTAATTCCACAACTACTAAATGCCACAATAGAATAATCACAGTATCTTTGTGCACTTTAAATTGATCTTCATTTTCATTTCAAGCATTTATAGCTATAAAGTTTTCAAATGAGCCTTTGAAATTAGACCAATGAAAGTATGCAAGTGCATGCAAATCACCTATTTTGATGTACAACAAGAAACAGATCCTCATTTGGTGAAACTCAGCATAACTCTGCCTTAACTGCAACAAGTGCATTTGACCACTGTTTCAGGGACTTTTTTTTACATTAGGCCTCTAAAATATATGAAACTGAATTTACTTTATAGTGCAAAGTAAACTGTGAGTTCAGATTTACTGACTCTCATTGCCCACATCAAAGCACTACTTAGTACAACATTATTTAATTCTGGGTAGAATTTTTATATATAGTACATTCAGCCGATATTAAGGAATAATGCTGGTTTTTTTGCTGCCTGGCATCCACATTTTAATGTGAAGAACTTGTGTTTCATTTATATAATGTGTAAAACACAATAGCTCTTACACAGAATTTTTAAAAATAAATATTTATTATCTCAATCTCCAACATGATTAAAATTTTCAATGATGCATAATTTCAAAGACATGTTATGGTTGCTCGAAAAGTCTCACCTTCAGTGTAAGGCAATACTGGTCAGGTTCTTTAAAACTTTCTCAGCTCATAGACAGTGACCCTTGGGTTCATTTTTCCCAGCTGGGAAAGGAGAGCAGGGAAGCCTTGCAGCCTGTCGGGCAGCCAGGATCCTGGCAGAGAGCTGCCCATGGCTTAGACTCAGGCAGTCATCTCCCAGAATTGCCCCTTCAGGTCAGTGGAAGTGCTCCTGGTGAGAACATATGCCACTGATCCAAAGACAATAGTGTGGTTATGTACCATAAGTACTGCTAATTACTGCAGTGGCTGTAAGTTGACCTAATACAGATGGATTTCAGTTTGTTGTAGACATTCCCTTTTTGTTACCAACAGAGGCCAGTGAAAACATATATCCTTTTTTTAAAACCTTGTTCTCAGTTCTGAGAACTGTTCAGAAGATAATGGGAAAAAGCATTGTGGCCCCTTCAAATTCCATCCCTAATCAACAGTCACCTCTCCTGCCTGCATCACTTTCAGGCTGTGTGTTATGTGCTTTGCTGAGCAAGGAAGGATTTAAAGATATGCTTAACTTTAAGCATTTGCATAAGTGCTTTGCTAAATCAGGGTTACCTATGTTTAATCAATCAAAATCATCAATATTTCAATAGCTTACACATTTTGGAAGAACACATAGAAAATCTTCACTTCTTTCTCCCTCCCTCAAGTGGAAAAAAAAGTGTATGTGTGGTTATCATTTCAGGGACATGATACTGAGAAGAGCATAGTTTAAATTTTTTTATGATGCCAGCAAGATTCATTGTCTCTTGTGTGTTTTGGGTTCCACAGCTGTGAATGAACTGCTAAGACAGCTGTGTGAAAATATTTGTGGGTGTTGATGCATTCATCCCTGAGGGACTAACCCAGCTTGAAATTATATTTGCACACATGCCTATGGTGAGTAATGCTTTTTCTAAATGAGCAAGTACATTTATTTTGGGTGCGTTTTGTTAGCTTGTTTAATAGAACATAACCATCATCGTAAATGGTGGAGAGGTTGATTTTTTACTAGAGCGGGTAAGGTTCATGGCCATTTCCACAAAGCTGCATGCAATTCCGCCCACTTGCTCCAAATCATCTTTAGAGTGAGGGACAAATAGAAAACAAATGTGGGTCTCCTATGAAGTAATGCTGAAAAGTAGCAACAGGCCAACACACCTTACCTAGAGTTGGGAGGTTTAGTTTTTATATGTTATTATAGTTTCAGGGAACCACTGCTGATTTAATGTATTTTAACAGGGAAAGAATGGTATCAATTAATATTTACTCTCTCTCTTTTCTGATACAGCTGAAGTAAATGGAGGTGAAAATATACAGTAGGAATTAGTTCTGTTTTTATTGACATAGTAATAACATGGAGTGTTTGTTCCTGAACAAAGCAAATATAATCACTCACTTCAGCAACCTAGGGTGATTCAAATTAAAATGCCAGGCAGTTGGCAATGTTAGAAATTTCCAAATCTCAGGTACAGAAACTGGGGCAGGAACTAACTGAGAGCTTAAGTGCGGTGCACTCATAATAGTAAACTCTTCTACTGTCTGCAAGGTTGCATTCCAGGAAGCCTTTGCACTTGCAGGGAAGCCCTCTCTTTTCCAAAGAGGAGCATAGCTCCAACTGGCATGATTTCCAAAATATGAACGTATCTTTCTCACTCTCTTTACATTTAAAAATGGAGGGGGAGAGGGAAGCTGGGATGTAGCATTGAGGAAAAAAAGAAAGAGGCAAACTGGGATATGGAGCTGGTGAGGGGAAGGATGACTCAGATGAGAAGTCAAGAGGGGAGGAAGGGTAGAGTGGGAAAAGGAGCAAGGGTGGGGAGACTGTGATGATGCACTGAAGGGGTGGGACAAGGAGAGACTAGGATCGAGACACTGGAGTACACTCCCCCCTGAAATTAGAATGAAATCCAGCACTCCCGAGTTCACCATTGGCTCTGATGTCAGCTGGTGAAACCCACTAGCAAAGTGTGTGCCTTATCTCCTTCTAGTGCAGTAGAGGGCAATGTGCAGCCAACGAGCAAAATGTAGCCCATCAGGATTCCACGCAATCTTCCTCTGTCCCCTCCCCACCTTGCCTCTTATGCTTTGGGGTTGCAGCACTTGCCTACTCCTCACCCTGTCTCCCAGAACTTCCAGAGCACTGTGACTCAGACAATTCACGGTGCTCCAGAAATGCTGGGAAGGAGGGAGAGGAGAAGGGATGGAGTACACCCTGGGCAGGAGGCAGGGAAGAGGCCATGTGTGTGTGTGTGTGCGGGGGGTTCCATGTGATTCCATGCAAGAAATTTATTTATTTTTCCCATTTGTTTTTTTTAACATCCTAGGAAATTGTAAGCCTAGAGAGCCTGCATCAAAATAAATATATTGGGGGGGGGGAGGTGGGGATGGAATGGAAATTAAGATATTTTCTAACTTTTGAGTCCATGACTTTGCAAACCTAATGCTCCTTTAAAGTAGTTTATTAATGTAATTTACTGTATTTTATTAGTGTAGCAACTGAAGAGCCCAATTAAGAATCAGGGTCCCACTGTGCTTCATGTGTTGCAAGCATATTGTAAAATGAGAGTTCCAGCCTGAGAACATTTACAGCCTGTTTACTTGTTTTTTGGTTATCAGTGCTTCAGAACATCCACAGCTGAACAACCACAGCATCCAAGAACTGATGTTGCTGAGTACTAACAAAGAAAACTCATTTTTTAAACAGCATTTTTTTCAATTATATATTCTTTTCCATTTTTATTTACATTCATATACTACAAATAAGGAACATTTGATACTTTTACTCTGACCTATCAGAATCTCTCGAGGTAGTGCTGATGCTTAAATTGAGAGCCGGTGTGCAACAACTAGCTTGCAATCTGTTTTCTTTCCTGGGTCAGACAGAGTAGGCCCTTTTAAGGAGTTTTCCTTTTTAGGAATATATGAGCTGTTTTCATTCAAACAACGATTGACTTATTCACATCATATGTAGCATGTATCAACTGGAAACAATTACCTTTTGAAAGAGGAAGGTTTTAATTTCAGTGTGACCAAACACCATCTATAATTTAGTGCCTTCAGGCTGTGTTTTCCAAATGGTTTAATAAGTTAAGGGTGAGGCTGCCAGGCAGGTGGGGGAGACTTCACATGTTTCCAGTAGAAATGGGTCTCTTAACCTTTCCTCAAACCACAGATGACCATGATTGTCATAACAGGGTAGTTGTGAGCAATGCTTCTTTACCATTCTTTGACAGAGTTTCAGGGTAAGTCAGCTGTAGGGATATAGTCCAGATGTAGTCATTTTGAAGTTCAGGAAGTTAAATGAGATGATGAATTGTACTCAGCTCTGTGTATAAAACAATTGAAATGTACACTCAAGATCAAGGCCCTCCAGCTCTTCCCCAAAACCAGAAATCTTTAGTAGTAAAACTTATAGAAAGTTGTCCAGTGTGATTGGAGACAGATTCCTAGAAATTCTATACAAGGCCTATGGCAATTTAAAACATAGAACACAAGCATTCATATGCAAAGTACAATTTGTTGAGTCCTATACATTTTAGTGATGGGCAAATCACCTAGCATGGTAGTTTTGTTAGAATAAAATGTTCAAAATTAACTGATCCATTCACTAATGAAAATCTTTTTGGGTATGCAATGAAGGCCTGGAAATGTTGAGAAAACAGGCTCTGTCACATGATTTACAGCCATGCTGCTCCTGCTCTTGATAAGAGTTGGAAACACTGTAATATGAGCATAGGCTTATTTTTAAAGTATTTTCACATTGTTTCTAGTTACATCCAGAACTAAAAAGCACACAGATGGTGAGACTACCCAATTAAATACATGAATTAAATTAAAGTTAGACAAACATTTTGAAACCTCTAAAATTTTGGTTTCAGTTTGGCTTGGGTTGTGATATGGGTTAAGGGTTTTGTTTCTTTGTTTGTTATTAACTTTTTCTATTTGCACCTTTACATGGTTATCGACGATATATGAATGTGTTCCATAATATACCAGTCATACCTGTTCCCAATTACTAAACCTATGAAGTCACACATGTTATTTACCACTGTATCTAATACCTTTTCCATTTTGTTTGTATTGCAGCTTCTTTCCTTTTTAAGTGTTATCTCTGGATGTCTCATGAAAATACCTGCTTCTGCTTTCTCAATCATGTTTCAGGTAGGCCATCCAAATGTTGTTTCCAATCCAAGATAATAAATTAATAAAGTTGTGTAACATTTTGCTTTAGTAATGGGTCAGAATTATTGATCTGAGCATGTTTGGAAGCCAACTACACAAAATTTTGCCTTTGTTTTCTTTCTATTGTGCTGGGTTTGAATGTGGTTGATCACAGATTAGTTCTTTTAATATTAATCAATGCATATTTAATAATGCTTCTCTCCAAAAATTTGGTAAATTCTTAATTAGATGTTTACATATTAAAGAGCTGGGCAGACAAAAAGTCATGTTTAAGAAACAGAAGGTTAAAGGAGCTAGTTTTAAGATATAATTTCCAGAACTCTCTTTTCCCAAGTCATGGATAAAAGATGAAAATCACACTATCCTTTCCTTTACCTGTCTTATAATGGTGTGTTGTAACACCACAAATATTTTAAATATATTGTTAATCACTAAGCTTTACTCAATTTTTATACAAACAGGAGAAGAATATGGTGTTATCCAAAGAAGTTGACAGTTTTATCTGAAACTGATTAGGAAAAAATGCAAGAGAAATATTCAAAAAACAGAAACAAAACATGTTGTTAGTTCAAATTGCCTATTTCACATAAAATATGGGAAATGGGAAAAATTGTCAGAACTTTCTCAACAGAAGTTAATGCAAAATGTCACTTTTTGAACCCCAGGATATCCCCTTTTGTTCTCTGACTGGTTGATTCTAACCCATGCGGTCAGACAGGTCAGCAGAAGACATTATAATCTTATTAATTCATTGGGATGGACAGTCTGGTTTTGTTTTGAAGTATGAATTATACAGTAAATGCCCACTTCCCTTTGCAAAACTAATCTCCATATGCTGTACAAGGCCTGATTTCCATTCACCCTCTGATTACAATTATCATCACAGCTGATATATTCAGCTGAGACATGTCAAATCCACACATTTCTGTTTAACAAGCATTTACTTGTTGTTATATAAATATTAACACATTAACTTATTTTGCTATTAGGAAATATTGGAGCTATTTGCAAAGCTTTATCCATAGTGTGATAGAGGGAGAGCTGTGCTTTTCAGAAGGAATCAGAAAAAATACTACTTTAGACTGGCTTACTGATGTAGCTTCACCATCAGCCAAAAAGCTGTTTTTAAATAACAAATCTGATTTTCAGTGTAGTGCATCCCTGTCACTTGGTTGGTAAAGGTGGCTGGACATCTGGTATTTAACACAATCACTCACTGACCTGCCAGTCTCACAGCTCTACCTGTGGTGTCATGTTATTGCCACGTATTTCAGTATTATACTTCATCATTAGTGATCAAGATTTGATTGTGAAAGTAGTCTCAAATCATTTGAGCTGCCCTTTTCAGTGTCAATTAAAATTGTACCTCCAGGTGCAAAGCAGTGAATACTATGTTTGGGGGAAATATAGGTGAGAGTTTGATTTTTGCTTTTAGCTTTTTAATAAACTTGTAACTTTTTAATCAGCATACAGTCAACCTGTGGAACTCCTTGCCAGAGGATACGGTGAAGGCTAGAACTTTAATAGGATTCTGTAAGGAGCTAGATAGATTAATGGAGGTTAGGTCCATCAATGGCTATTAGCCAGAATGGGTAGGAATGGTATCCCTAGCCTCTGTTTCTCTGTAGGTGGATGACAGGGGAGGGATCATGTGAGGATTACCCATTGTAATTCCCCGCCCCCCCTCTCCCGGGGCATCCAGTATTGACCACTGTTGGCAGACAGGATACTGAGCTAGATGGACCTTTGTTCTGACCCAGTAAGGCCATTCTTATGTTCTTAATAACTACAAATGATGGAAAAGTTATTTTATTAACTGAAGCTCTGTAACAAAAACAAACTTTAGAAGTAGCTGTGGGGAATTCCAAGCAACAAAAGGCAGGAATAAATGGCCACTTTTCAAACTCGAGAAAGGGGCAGACAGTGAGTTGGCAAAGTTTGTAAGTGAGGCAAAAGTACTCAAGAGAGTTAAGTCCAAAGCAGATTGCAAAGATGAAATTCAATATTGATAATTGTAAGAATAATGTACCCTGGGAAACAGAATCCCAACTATACATACACAGTGATGGGATCTAAATTAGTAATTACCACTCAAGAAAGAGATCTTGAAGTAACTGTGGATAGCTCTCTGCCAACATCTGCTCAGTGTCTAGCCACAGTCAATAAAGATAACAAAATATTAGGAAACATTAGTAAAGGTAATAAGACAGAAAATATTATGATGCCATAGTGATTCTTGCCATAGCAAGAATTAATTGAACCAGCACTTTGGTTTTGAGTCAATGCCTGCCTTTCACTCAGCATATATAGTTTTGGGTCAAAGCCATATATTGTCTGAATGACAAAATTAGTCAGATAGGAAGAGTCTTTTATTTGACTTTTAATTTTTAAGAAACCAGATGAAGGGAACTCTGAGAATAAAGTGAAATGAATACATAGTCACAAATATCTCTAATGGGATCAAATTATAATGGCTTTTGAAACAGGCGACTGGTTATTTTCACCAAATTATATGATGGTTCCAGCTGCCAATTACTGTGATCTTAGTAAGTAAATAAGATTAGGGGTACAAATCATCAAATATTTTGTTCTTCCTTGACAATTCATTCTTCTAGGAAACTCCCCCCTAGCAACACAGAACTTTGGAAACTTCTTGAAAAGAGTTCCTCTGTGGGGCCACATGAGTTCACTGCCATAGCTCCAGAGGGCTACAAAAGGACTATGCAATCCCAAAAGCTCCAGTAACTCCCTTTCTAAAGCTTCAGGGGGTAGCCGAGTTAGTCTGCTCAGGATAAACTTAAAGAAACAACAAAATGTCTGGTAGCACTGTGAGCTGTGTCCACGAAAGCTCATGATACCATCTACATGTTTTGTTAGCCTATAAAGTGCCACCAGATCTTTTGTTCCTTTCTAAAGTTAGTGTTGGGTTTAGGGACTTCAGTTTCTAAGTTTTTCCTCTAGTAGTTGTTTTGTAGTTAGCTACTGTAGTGAAAGTGTTCTACACATTTCAATGTTTTAGTGTTTCTCTGGACTATCAGGGTACATCTAGACTACAGGCTTTTGTTGACAGAGGCTTTGTCGACAAAGAGCATCTAGACTACATCCAGTTCTGTCGAAAAAGCAAGCCACTTTGTTGACATGAGAGTATAGATGCAAAGGACGGTATAGATGAAATAATGCCTTTTGTCGACAGAACTCTGTTGACAAAAGGCGTTATTTCTTGTAGAATGAGGTTTACCGCCGTTGACAAAACTGCCTAGTTCTGTCGATGTTATTTCGACAGAACTCGGCGGCATTGTAGACAAAGGACAACTCATAAAATCTTGAAAGCAATTTAAAACACATTCAGAGTCTTTCTACTTTTAAGAGAACAGTCAGGTTCTTTTAGAATCATAAGGAATGTATGCTGAGCAGCTAGTTATTTCTGCTGAGGTTAACTTTAACTTCCCCTCATTGGTACACCAAATATCTTACCTTCTTCTGACTATGTCATGAATTGATCACATCCACCTTGGTTTGAATCCTAATCCCTTTTAGGGTACAGGTGACAATTCACAAGTCTTAGAGCAAACATATGCTACCTGTCATAGTTCATGTTGGTGTCTACCATGTTAGTTCATGGACAACTGATGCCAATTGTACAGTTGAGGCAAAAAAAGGAGTATTTTCAGAGATCAGTACAGAGCTGATGGTATGAATTAATTCCGTATTCATAGATTTTATTTGGCTATGTATAGATGTGTTTTTTAAGTTCTAGAGAAGTAATAATGTGTTAAACTGAAATGACCCTAACATGTTCATACAGGTTTTTTAAGCTTACATGCCTGCTTTGGCTTAGAAGAGCAATCCTCCCCACACCCTTCTTTTCTTCTTACTTTTTCTTTAAGTCTGATAATCTTCTGGTCATGAACTACATAAAAGATTAATATAAAGCTGTAAAAGAACAAAGCCTTCAGATTAACCAACTTTCATTTTCACTTTGTCCATTGTGCCATGTTTTAGAAAGTTAATTTAAACCCCCTGATGGGTACAAAATACATTCTCTTTTTCTATTTATATCTTCCACACATTGTGGTTGTTTTGATTCAATCCAAAATCTTATATGCATGGCACATGGTGGTAATTAAATAGTTTAAGTAATGTTTGGTGGCATTAATTTCACTATTATCTCAAAATAAAGTGGGTTTATGGCAGCATTGTCAACACATCTAATTTTGTTGAAAGAACATATATTAGTATGACCATTACCATTTTGGGACAGAATATGATATGTTCTTCTATTGTAGCCACTTCATCACATCTTACCATATCTCCAATGTTAAGTTTGTAATTATTTTTTTTCATTCCATATCTGAAATTAATCCAACTTCAAATTTCACAAAACTAAATTTAGTCCCCCTGATTTTTTTTCAAGTGGGGTTTGAAAACCTCCAGTAAAGAAGCTTCCATGACTTTCCCTGGCAGTCTGTTCCATTGTCCTACTTCTCTTACAATTAGGAAAGCTTTCCTGAGATTTAATCTATATCAAGTATGCCATATTCTGAACTCCTTATCTCTTGTTCAGCCCTCTGTGGCAAGAGAAAGCAACTTTTCTCCATCTTTTTAATGGAAGCCTTTCAGGTATTTAAATACCAGTATTATATCTGCCCTTCATCTCCTCTTTTTCAAACTAGATATGCCCAATTCCTTCAGCCTTTGCTCATTTGGCTTGCATTTCATCCTTTTGATCACCTTTATTGCTTGCATCTGGATCCTTTCTATATGAACGAAAATTAGACACAGTATTATAAATGAGGCCTAACCAGCATTGAGTAAAGAGGTAATATCACTGTGCTTGACTTTGATGCTGTTCCTCTGTGAATGCAACACGAGATTGCACTTCTTGTTTGTAACAGCATCACACTGTTGACTCATGTTGAATTTCTCATCATGAGAACCTCAACTTCACATGTTCTTATTTTTCCTCTGCATCAGAATTGCTTGGTGCTGATTTTTTAGAATTTGCCAGCCCCTTTGACTCCTTTTTTCCTAATTGGTCTCTCCATGGGACTTTGTTTACTAGTTCTCAGAGGTGATAGACATCCACCTTGTTGAAGACCAGTGATTTTTTTCTGTTTTCATGTCCTCCTTTCCATAGAATTTTTAATTCTATTAGATCCTGACCACTTCCTTCAAAGTTCCCAACCACTTTTGCATTTACAACTAATTCACCCCTGGGCTGTGTCTAGACTGTCAAGTTTTTCCACAAAATCATCAGCTTTTGTGGAAAAACTTGCCAGCTGTCTACACTGGCCGCTTGAATTTCCGCAGGAACCCTGACGAGCTCATGTAAGATCGTCAGTGTTCTTGCGGAAATACAGTACTGCTCCCATTCGGGCAAAAGCCCTCTTGCGCAAATCATTTGCGCAAGAGGGCCAGTGTAAACAGCACAGTACTGTTTTCTGCAAAAAAGCCCCGATCGCAAAAATGGCGATCGGGGCTTTTTTGCGGAAAAACACGTCTAGATTGGCCACGGACGCTTTTCAGCGTCCTGCCAATCTAGACGCGCTTTTCCAAAAATGCTTTTAACGGAAAACTTTTCCGTTAAAAGCATTTCCGGAAAATCATGCCAGTGTAGATGTAGCCCTGTTGATCAAAACTAGATCCACAGTGGATGACCACTTTTTCTTTCCTCAACTTCCCAAATGAGAAATTTCCCCCCACACATGGTAAGAACTAGTAAAACATAATGGCTATGTCTACACTGGCCCCTTCTTCGGAATAGCCATGCTAATTTAGAACTTTGGAATAGGGAAATGCGCAGGGGATTTAAATATCCCCCGCGGGATTTAAATAAACATGGCCACTGCTTTTTTTCCGGCTTGGGAAAAAGCCAGAAAAGAGCATCCAGACTGGTGTGATCCTCTGGAATAAAGCCCTATTCCGGAGGATCTCTTATTCCTACTTCAAGCCGGAAAAAAAGCGGCAACCATGTTTATTTAAATCCCGCGGGGGATATTTAAATCCCCTGCGCATTTCCCTATTCCAAAGTTCTAAATTAGCATGGCTATTCCGAAGAAGGGGCCAGTGTAGACATAGCCATTATGTTTTACTGCATTGTACACTCAATTTAAGACTGGGCAAAAGACTGCCATTTTTGTCTGGCCTCCTATTATTTATAAAGTATGGATCACCTGTGATTTGGCCAGAAGGCTACATTCATGTCATCACACTCAAATGCTGAAGGCTGAGACAACTGAGATGAGGGGAAACTGAGGCAAGGTAGAGCTTTACAGCTGTTCAGGTTAGATCACTAGTAGAAGCACTAATTCATCTTTACACTACACTCTTGTGAAGTACTGCATCAAATATTGATCCTATCCCCCTATTTATCAGTGGATTAATGAGGCACAGAAATGTGTAATTTGTTTCCTTAGCAGTGCAATGACAAAGATTTACACTTGGGGACCTAGTAGTCCTGATTCCATTTTCCACTGTCACCCTAAATGTCTTACTTTAATAAGGTTATAATTACACTTCTGCATTTCTCTAATCCCCTCCCTGAAAAGGGGAAAAGAAGATGTTTTCAGCAAAATAATCTGGTTATATTTGTGAAAAAAGGCACTTCAGAATAAAACTGTCCGTATTTTATAGTAGAAAAGGGTTGTTTTGAAGGGAATATATATTGTTGTTCAAAATCTAAACACTGTATTTTAAAATTTAGCTATTTTTATTCTAAATCACAAAGGCGATTTTGTTGTGACTGTTACTTATTTTCCCCAATAAACCTTATTACATTGGCTAATGACACGAGGGCTGCGTCCAGACTGGCAAGTTTTTCTGCAAAAGCAGCTGCTTTGGCGGAAAAACTTGCCAGCTGTCTACATTGGCCGTTTGAATTTCCGCAAGAACACTGACGATCTCATGTAAGATTGTCAGTGTTCTTGCGGAAATGCTATGCTGCTCCCATTCGGGCAAAAGCCCTCTTGCGTAAATGCTTTTGCACAAGAGGGCCAGTGTAGACAACGCGGTATTGTTTTCCGCAAAAAAGCCCCGATCATGAAAATGGCGATCGGGGCTTTCTTGCACAAAACCACGTCTAGATTGGCACGGACTCTTTTCCGCAAAAAGTGCTTTTGCGCAAAAGTGTCCGTGCCAATCTAGATGCTCTTTTCCGCAAATGCTTTAACGGAAAAGTCATGCCAGTCTAGATGTAGCCAAGGTGTTTCTGAGATACTGGGCTTGAAATGACAAGCCGTATTTCTTTTGTTTGATACCTTATCTATTTTTTATAGAGCCACAATTGTAGCTTGGCTTAGAAATGTCAAATTTATATAGGTGACAAAGTCTGTCTTGACCTCTGGGGCCTTTGAATCAGATTCATAGTCCTTTGCTCTGTCTCAGAAAATATTGAGTGAAAACTGGCACGGTCCAATTCTGAATCTAATCTTACTCATCTAAACAAAATGTTTGAAGCAACTGAATATTCTAAATTGCTAATTCTATCCTCTGTGGTGTTTATATTATCTTTATTTATACTTGGCTGCTTTACTAGGAAAACATGATTACACCTTTCTGGGGATGTAAATTGAGCAGATGCCATGCAAAGCGTACCCACTTGTATCATAAATAGGGTGCTGGTTACAATTCAGCATATTAATGGTGCTTTAAAGACTGACAATGAGAGTGTTCACATCAGGATTTTTATTGTAAATTTTGTTTCAGTTTTGACTTGTAATGTTTCATGAGAAATAGCTGATTGCTAAAACAAGAATTCCTGATGGCAAACACAGGAAGCTTTTATCAAGAGAATGTGTGCTGTGTGGCTATTCTGAAGAGTTACACTATACTTTTAAAGCTAATTTTTTAGAATAAGTTACTCTTAAGTATATTAACTGTTCTAGATAAATGTAAACACTTGAAATTAAAGTATATTGGTTATACAACGTAACATTTAAATGGATGCCTCTGACTCTCTTACCTTCTTGTGCAGTGAAATCATCAAGGAAATACGCTTCTTCTTGGAGAGTCTCGATGTTTCTTGTGAGCTGGGACAAACTTTCTTGTGAGCTGGGACAAAAGTGTGCAGTCAAGTGGAAATTAATAGTAGGATGAATGGTGGAAACATTGTCTTTAAACAAACTCTTAGAAGCATAGAAATTAGAGCCAGGAAAAATTACTTCCAATCATCAAGATTGTCCCTATGCCATTTCAGGATTGCTCCCTCACCATGTATTTTGTCCTGTCCAGTTTCAAACATCAAAAGCAGTAGTTCTCTTAGCACACTTATTTTCAATACTAAACACTCACTCTAAGTAAAAGTCCACATACTTAATGTTCAACCTGTACTAATTATTAGGTCTTTTTATCTGCCTAAAACTAGCTATTATCAATGTTGTAATTTATGGCATTTAGATGTGATTATTGTCCCTTTATTTAGTGCATCACTATGACATCTTCAGCACTGGAGATATAACTCTGTTTCAGGTAACGGAGGTACAAAGTGATATTCAGATACATTAACCAATGATCCACCAAGACTTCAATGTTGAATCTTAACAAAAGCTGACACTCAATGCAAAAGCTTTGTAACTTTGGACCTTAGCAGCTAGAGGACCCTGTTGACTCTTTTTATGAGGGGGAACCAAGCCCTCAATTTTCTGAAAGTTTCTGTTTCTGAGACAGAGAGGGCGTGTCTACACTGCAATAAAAGCCCCACAGGTGGCCCAGATCATCTGACTCATGTTTGCATCACTTGGGCTTCAGGGATGCAATGTAGATGTTCAAGGTTGGGCTGGAGAGTCCAAGAGGCCAAGCTGAAATGTCTACACTGCTATTTCATAGCCCTGCAATTCCAAGCCCCAAGAGCCCAAGTCAGACCTGGGCCAACCATGACTGTGCTGTAGGCCTTTTCTCAGTATAGGCCTACCTAGACAAAGCAAGAGTGTGCTGTACAGAAGAAATTCCCCTCTGTCACTCCAGATGCTCTCTGAGAACCACAGTCAGAAATGTTATTGTGCTCCAGTCATAGGATGCTGGCCCAATAGCTTAAGACAAAAGAGGCCCATACCTTCTCTCAGACACCTAACACCATTTTGGAGAAAGGTAGAAATTACACCTTCTGTCACTCACTAGCACAAGCAGTGTCCCCATTTCTAATGAATTTTAATGATATGTCAGTAAAAGGAGAAAACCCATAGAGTGTGTCTACACAGCAGGACTTTACTCAAAATAAGCTACACAAATTGAGCTACGTCAATTGCATAGCTTATTTTGAAATTGAAATTGGGAATGTCTACACAGCACTTATTTCAAAATAGAGCACTCTTCCTCCGACTCCCTGTACAATGAGGGTTACAGGAGTCAGAGTAAGAAGTCCTACAGCTTGACAGTACTTTGACATTATTTCAAAATAACTGCCTGCTGTGTAGATGTGGACTAAGTTATCTCGAAATAACACTAGTTATTTCAAAATAATGTTGCTGTGTAGACGTACCCTTAAACAGAATAAACCTGAAAAAAATTCCTGCTTTTTGGAAAATGTAAGGGAATGGAGATCAATGAAGTAGAAGTTTAAAATTCTCACTAGCTCTCACACCAGTTTGGGTTTTTCTGGGTAGGCTACAATCTTGTAACTGCATCCTTGTAACCAGATCCTTACCTAGACACCAAATCAAGTCAGTAGTTTTGTGCAGGCACAAGGGCTTTGTTGCACAAATATTATTGAAAGAATAGGCTGCTAGCTTAGTTACACTTCATGTAATTGGAAAGGATGTTATTTTTCCAGTGTGCTTATAAATGTTTTCTATTAACACATATAGGACATAATCATTAAAAGATGCAGTGTCCTCTGTTTACCCATAGCCAGCAGACTCTACTGCAGCTGATATAAAAGTGTCATTTATTAAGGTTATCATCTCTTCCACACAATTTCACTATTTTAAAGTTTCATTTTAGAGCTTGAAACATCTTTGTTAGAAAAATTAATAAAGTTTTTGACTCAGAGTGTTCACTTAGCTGCCAATGGTGACAAGACTATAGATTTATACCCAATATTAAAAACAGCATATGAAAAGCCTTCAAAGTACACCAACAGGAACAAAACGACCTCAGATTTCAGTATTTGTTTACTTGGTTACATTATTTTTCTCTTTCTGGCTGATTACACATAGCATGGATACTGTCTTCTCTTACACAATTAGACAATTACGTGATGTTCTTATAAAAGCAGATCCCAGAATCTTAAACTGTCAATAATCATAGAATCATGGAAATGGAAGGAATCCTGGCAGGGGATCTACTCTAGTCTGCTGCACTCATGGCAGGACCAAGCACCATAGACCATTCCTGACAGGTGTTTATCTAACCTGCTCTTAAAAATCTCGAATGCTGGAGATTCCACAACAGAGGCAGGCAAAACATGGCCTACGGATCCAGCCTGCCAAGTCACTTGATTCAGCTTGCAACCCAGCGGGAGCCTAAGCCAGGGTCCCTTCATGCCTCTTCCTAATCTGCTCTAAGCCTAAGGGAGAGGGAAACAAGTTTTGAGTGCTACCTCTGTCCCCAGCTCCCATTTGGATGGCTTCTAACCAATGGGAGCTTCCTGTTTTCAGGACAGGCAACACACAAAGTACTCCTCTCCCCTCCCCCTAAGTTCACAGCCTTCAGAGCAGCACATGGCCCCTGCAGCTGGCTGCTCTGAGCAGCATGTTGGGACATTGATGGCAGGGCGTCTGGCCGGGAACCACTCGGGTAAAGGCCTCCCAGCCAGATCCTGCTTGTGGCACCCAACTCCTCCCTCTACCAACCATCTGACCCCTTTCCTACCAGACTTCAAACTCCAATACCCTGCACCCCTTTCACAGCTTTTCTCCAAGTCATAGTCCATTTACAGATTTTGCTCCCCAATCGCAATCCCTGTTCACAATCCAGATCCCTGCACCTGCTCCTGCACTCCCGCTCCAGGTTACAATCCCCTCCAACACTCCTCTTCCAGATCACAATCCTCTTCTGAATCCATACTCCCTCCAGGACACTGTGCCCCTTTCTACACCCTAGCTTCCTGGACAGGCCACAACACCCACCTTCACTCAGACTACCTACTGACACACCCTCTCCTATACCTCAAGCTCCCTTCTGTACCCAGCTTCCATCCCAGACCCCACGCCTTCTACATTAATATCATGGATAAGCGCAGCCCTTGCCCACTTACAGAATTCAAGGAGTGGCCCCCCCATCAAAAACTACCAACCACCCCAGTTCCACAACCTCCCTAGGCAATTCATTCCAGTGCCTAACCATTCTGGCAGTTGGGAAGTTTTTCTTAATGTCCAACCTAAACCTCCCTTGCTGCAATTTAAGCTCATTGTCCTATCATCAGTGGTTATAGAGAACAATTTTTCTCCCTCCTGCTTGTAGCTCAGGTACTCTAAAGCTCTTTCATGTCCCCTCTCAGTCTTCTTTTCCAGACTAAACACACACAGTTCTGTCAAATTTCCTTCATACATCACGTTTTCTAGATCTTTAGTCATTTTTGTTGCTCTTTTGTGGATTTTTTCTGATTTTTTCACATCTTTCCTGAAATGTGGTGGCCCAGACTGGACGCAACACTCCTGTTGAGAACTAATCAGTATGGAGTAAAGCAAGGAAATTATTCCTCATATCTTTCTTACAGCGCTCCTGTTAATATATACCGGAATGATGTTTGCTTTTTTTGCAACAGTGTAACACTGTTGACTCATATTTAGTTTATGGACTACTATGACCCCTTTCGGTAGTACTCCTTCCCAAGTAGTCATTTCCCATTTTATATGTGTGCAACTAATTGTTCCTTCCTAAGTGTAGTCCTTTGCATATGTCCTTGTTGAATAACATCCTATTTACCTCAGACCATTTCTCCAGGACATTTTAAATTATAATCCTAATTTCCAAAGCACTTGCAACCCCTCCCAGCTTGGTATCATCCACAATCTTTACAGAAGTACTCTCTATAGTCTATGCCATTATCTAAGTCATTGATGAAGATATTGAACAGAACCATTCCCTAAAACTGATCACTGCAGAAATCTACTTGTTATGCCCTTCCATCATGATTGCGAAACATTGATAATTCTGGGAACAGTTATCCAACTAGTTATGCACCCACTTTATAGCAGCTTCATCTAGGTTGTATTTCCCTAGTTTGTTAATGAGAAGTTCATGCTAGATTATGTCAAATGCCATACTGAAGTCTAGAAATACCATATCTAGTGCTTCCCTTTTATCCACAATGTCAAAAATGTTATCAGGTTGGTTTGACGTGATTTCTTTTTTACAAATTCATGTTGATTGTTACTTATCACCTTATTATCTTGTAGATGTTTTCAAATGGATTCCTTAATTATCTTTTCTGGTACAGAAGTTAAGCTGACAGGTCTGTAATTCCCTGAGTTGTCTATATTTCCCTTTTTATAGATGGGCACTATATTTGCCCTTTTCCAGCCTTCTGTAATGTCTCCTATTTTCCATGACTTTTCAAAGATAATAAATAATGGCTCAGATATCTCCTAAGTCAGCTCCTTGAGTATTCTAGGATGCATTTCATCAGGCCCTGGTGACTTGAAGACATCTAACTTATATAAGAATTTTTAACTTGTTTTTTTCCTATTTGAGCTTCTGAACTTACCCTATTTTCACTGGCATTCACTATGTTAAGCATCCAATCTCCACCAACCTTCTTGGTGAAAAATGAAACAAAAAAGTCGTTAAGTACCTCTTCCATTTCCACATTTTCTGTTATTGTTTTTCCTTCTTCTTTGAGTAACAGACCTACATGTCCTCAGTCTTCCTCTTGCTTCTAATGCATTCATAAAATATTGTCTTATAACCATTTATGTCTCTAGCTAGTTTGAGCTTAGTTTGTGCCTTGGCCTTTCTAATTTTGCCCCTACATACTTGTAATATTTGTTTATATTTATTCTTTCTAATTTGATCTAGTTTCCATTTTTTGTAGATTTCCTTTTTAAGTTTTAGATCATTCCAGATCTCCTGGTTAAGCCAAGGTGGTCTCTTGCTATACTTCCTTTCTTTCCTATGCAGTGGAATACTTTGCTCCTGTGCCCTTATATAATGTTTCTTTGAAAAATTGCCCACTGTCTTCCATTGTTTTTTTCAAGTCTTGTTGTGTACTATTTTCTAGCATTATGAGTTCTTCCTCCTTCATCCCCATACTTCTTTCATTAGTATACATAGATCTAAGATATTGATTGATTTGTTGTCTGCTCCCCCAGGTCTGTCTTGTCTCTTTTTTTCA